GGTGTTTCTCCATGAAGTAATTCTTTGCCAGCTCTGTACTGTTTACCTGAAAACTTTTTTCCCCTTCTGAGCTGTCTGGGCCAAAAAAATGTAAATGATTAAACAAAAGAAAATCAAAACTATTTTTCACTAGTTAGAGTTGGGAGAGGGAGTTTCAGTGTAACCCTTTGCTTTTCTCTAAATGGAATAATAAAAACTTAACTTGTTTTCTTAACACTGGCATCAAAATATATTATCTTACTGTTTTAAATCAGTTATCCTCTGCTTTACCTTTTGTTCTCTGAAGATGTACCATTTTGTCTTATTGACCCACTTGTTTCTTGCTTAACACTTACATATTGCAGGAAATTTTTGAGCCCTTCAAAGTCCTTCAAAGATGATACCTGCACTGGACTGTTTTCTTAATTTTACAATTAACAGTGATGATCTTTAGGCTAAGGAATTGACTTTGTCAGGATTTCATGACGGCTACCTTGCAAAAGTTATTTTTAATGAGTGCTAGTATGGGCTCCAAAAGAGGTGAGAGTGATTCCTTAACTGTTTAGATTTGGTTTTAATGCTGTTTATCCTTGCTGAGCTGAGCATCTTACACATATTACCAGCACACATTGCTTTCTGTGTGTTTTTTATATTCTGTAGAATTCTTCAGAATAGCGAAATCTTAGGAGGCATCATTTAAAGACATTAATAATTCCCTTATCCTGAGCCTCCTTCCTGAATTTACACTTCGTTTACTAATTTTAGTCTTCACTTCACTAAGTCTGTTTCTAAAACAGCAGAACTCTGCATGAGATCCAGACTTAGTGTTACACCTGTGTGCATTTCTGTTACTCACATTTCATCCAGATGCTTCCTTCATGCTAGGAACATACAAAGGGATCTATTGTTGAGAGACTTTCTGGTCTCCATATGCACTAATAAGGTTTTGAGAGGTTTGGAAAATTAAACACAGTGTTCGGGGTTTAAGATGCATGAATATGAATTCCTTAACAAACTTTCTAGTCATACTTGTTTTAAGCTTCTTTTCATAACTGCTGACACTTGTAGTCAACAAGAATAATTCCGGCTGTTTTGTTAAAGTGGGATTATAAGATTAATTTAGGCCAAAGGTGAGTATGGTGCGAGAGAAATCACAGTAATATTTATTTTACTGCCTTTTTTTCATGGATTTAGCACAATTTCCACTGAGATACAAGCTATTTACAAAACAGTTGCTAAATAAATCTCCCAGTGAGACATGGATGAAACTCTATAGTGCTAATGTTTCCATTCACATCAATGAGATGTGTGGTGTGCTGGCCATCTGTTATATAAACCTGAATAGAATCTGAAATTCTTACACCAAAGACCTGACTTTTTTATGCCATCACTTTTATAGAGGTGTGCCATAAAAATGGCCATGTGCTGGCAACCTGTGCAACTGGACCCCTTTAAATCTGTGTTATAGTGATGACATTTCAAGCACCTCAGCATCTCTTAAAATTAAAACAGCTAATTGCATTAAGGTCTGTGTGTTGAAGAGATTATACTCATGCTTAGAGTTTGTTTTTTCCCCCTCCCCATCTGCGATATCCCTGATGGAGTCCACAGCTGTGAGAGCGACAGTGCGCGGAACAGACTGCCTTACAATTGGCAAGCCAAGTGGAAGGAACACCGAGACCCACAAGGATTGCTGGACTCGGAGGGCTTTCTGCTTGTGAGAACAACAAGCTAATTAAAGTCTAAATAAATGGAATGTCCTTCCGGCTGAAGTAAAGATAAATAAATAAATGCCTATGTGTTGTTCCAGAGGATTGAATAAAGATGAAAATATTTGTGTCCTGTTTATCCGGTAACGTCTCTTTAATGGTGAAAGGGGATCCATCAGCAGACTTGGTGAATATATGCAAATGTACAGTTTCTGATTTCTTTTTAAGCTGTTGTTTTAATAGGAGGGGTTCAGCAAAGATAATGAAAAGTATGTGATTTCTTCATATTTTTCAACAATTTAAAAATTTTAAAGTTTAATGTTTTCAAAATCTCAGTATGTATTTTTAGCAAGTTTCTGCTTAGCTACTGTTCTTGTCACTGTTGAGTGCTGCTTCTGCTCACCCACTGGTGCTTTGCACGCATATCTCACTGCGGGAGCTGTATGCTTTGTTTGCAGACCTATGGTGCAGTAAATGCTACTAATGCATCACTTTAGTTCTTCTTCAGTTACAAGTGTCATCTTAGTCTTCCCATTCTTATGTAGTGTTGACAAGAACAGGGGTTTTATATCCTTTAGATTTTCTATGGACCACTTTTTTTTCAGATTGTTTAATTAAACCTAGCCTAAATACATATTTAGTGAGCTATACCTAAGACAGATATATAGGAGTAAATTTAATTCCAGTTATGTGTAGGTCATTAAGACTACATTTTTTAAATACATTTGTATTTATGATATGTATTATATATGTATGTAAAATATATTTAAATACATTTGTAAATATGTTTGTGTTTAAAGTGTAGCGCTTGCTGAAGCACTTTGCTGAAATGAGCCCTCAAAGGGTCTAATTTTGGGAGGAGATGACTGAGCAATCACAGTTCTCAGCTAAACCTCATCTTGAGGGTCCTTGAGAAATTAGGTTCCCAAATAGAAATTTGAGTCTCTTTAGGCACCCATTCTGAGAAGATTTAGCCACCAAGTTAGGTCTCGATTTTCACTTCTCACATTCTCACGAATGAGAACAATGGGTGCAAGACTTTTGTAAAGAGACCATCAGACTGCTAAAGAAGGCTGCACTGGTGTGCGGTCAGTAGTCTTGACCTAACATCTGCTGAAAAGTGTAATTCTACTTTTAAAATAGGGAAAAAAAAAATCAATAGTGTAGGTTTTAATGATCTATTGAAAATCTAGCACTAACCTTTTCGTGTTATACCCCTTAACTGTTGTAAAGGTTCATTCCTGATTGTATATGTAACAAATATTAAACATATTTAAATTGTAATTCATGTAAGAAAATACTGCGGAGTGGGAAAAGAAGTAAGTAATTGGATGCCTGGTCTAGGAAAACAAACAGGCACAGCAGAACGAGTAGAGAAAACATGTTTTTCTGCTTATTTTACAAGCAGGCATGTAAAGGAAACAATTCTCTCATTACATGTGTATAAAAATAGGCTTTGAGGGTGACTTCTCCAGGCATGAGAACTCCTAGCATTTTCCCGTTACCTTGATCCTCATCTGCTCATTTGTTCAAAAAATGAACCAGAGGTAAGTTTTTACTGACATGTCCCGCACTTTAGCACAGCAATACCATATACATAAACACATCCTAATCATGAAACAAGGGCAACAATGTCTTAGTGAACTGCATAAAATCTGTCAGTGCTCACTTCTCATGTCAAGAGGCAGCAAAACTAGTCCAAAAACTGATTAATGCCATTTTTAATACTGGTCAAAGCTCAGAAATGCTTGGATGGATGAAATCACTGAGCTGGGGCTGAAAGAAAAAAAAGGAGCAAAGAATCTCTTGGTAGATGGGATGTGCCAGCTTTCAGGATTATTTAGTGAAAAATGGGCCATGTTTAACCTTCTTCTAAATCATCTGACCTTAATCTATTATGGGAGAAATTAAAAGTTAGTCTGTTCAAATGAACTTAGCATACTGGCCGGCTTTTAACTCTGCTGACTGCCTTCTTCCTGGCTCTGTACTCTGCAAAAATCCCAACAGCTGCAGCATTGGTTATTCTTGCTCCAGTCATCAGCTGTGCTCTCTGGTGCCAGAGGGGAGAGATTGTTCCATAGATGCTGTGTGAAATTTGTGAAGGGGATTGGCACACTGATTACGGGCATCTAGATACCTTGCAAATACAGATAAGAAGCTGGTGATGTTAGCTACATGCAGTACAGCCTACAGTTTATGTAATATATAGATTGAAGGAGGTAATTAAGTACTGCAGCACTTTTTAACCTTTCAACATGTGAACCCGAGAAAGTTTTAGTTTTGGAAATCACTTATGTTGCAACATGAGGACCTGAGGAAAAGCTTGATTTTGCTGTAGGTTTAAAGGGCCACTGTTATATTTGTAGCTTCTTCTTAGTTTCCTCTGGAGGGAGTTCTGATGATATGTTTGCATAGTTGTTACGCAACACAGGATAAAGTTTTGGGTGAAATCCAGTCCATCTCATGTCTGTAGTTTTATCCATCTGTATGTGTGATGAAGCAGTCTTCCTAAAGTACATGCCTAGAATCCATACGTAACTGATAGACATTGATATGTGCTTTGGAAGTCTTCCTCAGTGAGATCCTGCCTGCTATACTTCTGGCATCCAAGCTGGGTGGCTACAAATTTCCTTCTAGAAATGATAGACATACCAATCTCCTCCTATTAACTGTATAGGCAAACATAGGCGCTGCACAAGTACTTAAAACCAAGGTATAGACTCATGCCTCAAGTGAGCTATACCAAATCAAACATTCTTCCAAAGAAGCAAACATTATTCACGCTGACATTTTATTTTTTCCATACATTTACATAATGATTACTACCTTCTAGAACACAAATGGGACAGATTGAACCGGAGGGAGGTTTGCAAAAGTAAGGAATTCTGCCTGTAACAAAGCCAGCTTCTGCCAAAGGAGACATTTGCATTTCTAGTGGATGCCGAGTTAATGATGTTGTCTCCTGCCTGCAGAGGGCATACAGCTCCTCGGTTTTCCCTGCCAAAATATGTGTAGAACAGGGAGAAACTAATGGACCATACATAAAAGCCTTGCTGCACATTGCTGCATGTGATGGATCAGAGATGTCTCCATGTATGCTAGGGTAACGAAAGTATGATTTCAGTGGAAAAATTGGACTCTTCCCAAGCATTCATATATCCCTGCACCAAAGTAAATCAATACCTTACACAGGGAACACTGAAGCCTCTGCGGGATGCGTGTCCAGCAGGAATCTGCTG